GACAGAATTTCCCAGCCTAGCTCTGCGATTTTCTGACGAGTCGCCAAAGCAGCATGTGGTCTGGCGTTATCATCGGTAGCCATGTTTTCACGATCGCGTCTCGCTTAATAATGACACGAGACATCTTTGTTTCAGTTTATTTAGGAAAGTACATGCGTGTAAATGCAATGATAAAGAGAGATAGTCATATATGTCTCGAATCAACATGTGCATACGGATTGAAACTTGAAGTGACACTATCGGACAGAACTTTCCGGTGGACCTAATATATTGAACACGATGCTGTCACCCCGGATACAACAGGAAGACTAATACTAGTCTTTCTAGCTATTTTCCAGGTTGAGAGAGATGTGAGATGTGAACGGTTTTAAGTTGAGATGTGAACGGACTTTAATCTCTAATATTTCAGCAACTATAACTATCACTCAACTTGAAAATGTTCAGCGATTCATATCCTGATACGAACAACAATTTGGCAGAAAAATTTCAGCGAAATTCGAGGGACCCAGAAAGGGTGACATAAAGCCTCATTTTCTGCGTCACTATTTAACAAGCCGTATTTTCGCTTCGGACCAGCTTAATGGCGATCATTATTCCTCGAGCGGCTATAGTTTCGGTCCTGGCACGCAAACTGGTGACCCTTTCTTCGACGATACAGCCTGTTGCTCCGAGCAATTCGAAGGCTGTCGTCTCGCGCGGAAAATATTCTGAAATTTTGGCCGGGGCCGCTGCCTCGACGAAAGTATCCGTGACGAGCGAATCTCGCGGATGCTTTGGGAGGTATGACGACGTTGCCAACGGCAACCTTCTACGTACACAAAGTGTCTGTCGCAGGGGCTTCGTAACGAAACCCTTAAATTCTTGGAACATTTTCGTGAAACAAGAATTCTACGTGACGTTTCGCTTTTACCTTGGAACAATGAAATATCTCTTGCAAATGATTAATGTTATCAACAAAATCTTCGTACCTAAGTTGTTTGATATTTTGACGGAAACATTCGAAGATAGAAGTTTAGTTTTTCTTTAAGTGGTACAATGAGTCGACGAGATAAAATAATCATCTTGTGTGCTACGTCTTCCTATAAATCCTTGCAACTTTATAATCGGCCACAAAAATTAATTTCTATTACAACCTATTAGTAACAAAAATAATTGTTGTAATAAATCTTGTCATGTGTCTTGTTGTATTATCGAACAAGTTTCTTCTGAATTGGCGCGCCTTTCATAGACGTTGGCAGTTAACGTGTTCGATGACTCCGTATCTGTGTCTACTTTTATATTTTTAAACCAGTTGTTCCGATTTTGTATGTCTTTCATAGGCACACTGGTTCTCTCTCCCTCTCTCTCTCTCTCTCTCTCTCTCTATATATATATATATATATATATATATATATATATATATATATATAGAGAGAGAGAGAGAGAGAACCAGTGTACATACATACAAAATCGGAACAACTGGTATATATATATAACTAGAAATATTTAAGGTGTGCTTAGAGACAGATAGGTCAGAGGAAAAAGTGGCACCCAGGTCACTCTGAACTCAACGTATCATCATGAGTAGTGTAATTGTAAGTAACGTCATTTATGTTACTAGAGCGATGCATTTGTTAGCTCGTCGAATAGAACACCAGATGGATCAGCAAAAAGGAGTGGATGTCTTACCTGTAGCACCGATTTGTCAAAGCCCGCTACGGCGGCAGAGGGCTGAGAAGAAGGTTTAGGTGACGTCGAGGAGGAGAAGGTCAAATCCGATGGGCTAGTGGTGGTGGCGGGTGACGAGGGCGTCGAGGGGGCAGGGGAAGGTGCCAACCCCCGAGGGCCCCCTGCAGTTGCACCCGCCGCCCCCGGTGCAGCTCCTACACTTCTCTCGACTTCTGCAACAAAAAGGGCAAACCTCGATAAAGATATCAAGCCGATGTTCTATAATATACTAAAATCGCTTTTTTCTACGTCCCTAACAAAATGTGTTCGATCGAACGGAACATTTGTTTACCAATATTAGACTACGAAGATTGTTATGCAAAATAAAAGTTGTTTGTAATCTATTAAAACAACACCAATTTCTGTACACATATCAATAATTTACTTATTTTTTAATCATAATCATTTTAACGGATTCAAAATAATGCAATTGCATCGTTAAATTCTTCAAGTGTTTTCGCTATTTTGTTTTTGATCTACTTATTTTTGTCAAAAACGCATTGGATTCGCAGTTTAGTTGTTATACGATCGTTCGGAAAGTCGTTTTTTTCTTTCGCCAGAACGTGAAATACGACTTTTTAATGTCCAGAACAAAAAAGCTTTTTAACAATTTTCTGATAGTATTGACATCTTATGCACATAAAGATCCTATTTTTTATTGGAAAAATACTGAGTCAAGTGAATCTTTAACGCACTTACAAAATGAAATTTTATTTGAAAAAACGATACAACTTTTCGAACGACATAATATTTAGTTATACTGAGTGACTTGTTTATCTCGGTCACTTAAATGTTACGATACTTTTGCAGATACGAAAAGTATATAAGGAGAAGTTATTTTGGTTTAGGCCTGCGAATATTGTTTTTCGCATCCAAAAACAACAAACAAAAAAGATGAAATAAAAATAAAAAGTAAAAATTATACAAAAATAAAATTTATATTTTCGTTGACACAATACAAATTATCCTATGTCACGAAGATATACTATACCCAAGAATACGCATCTGTGTAACATGTTTCTTAACTTCTGTCTGTAAGTATACAGAGGGTGTCCCAAAAATGTCTCGCAATACGAAAGTGGCGGGTTCCTCGGGTCATTCGAAGCAACTTTTTCCTTTACAAAAATGTTCTCCGAGGCACCGTTAACGAGTTATTAACGAAAAACAGTGACCAATGAAAGGCGAGCTCGGCTGGCGCGAGGCGACCGAGCCAATGAGCGGGACTGGGCTTCGCGCGCTGGTTGGCTGGGCCGCCTCGCGTCAGCCGTACTCGATTCTTATTGGTCACTGTTTTTCGTTAATAACTCGTTAACGGTGCCTCGGAGAACATTTTTGTAAAGGAGGAAGTTGCTTCAAATGATCCGAGGAACCCGCCATTTTCGGATTGCGAGACATTATTGGGACACAGTATATTTTCCTCTACTACTAAGACATTATCACAGGTGAAAACCTCCAATTTATTTGAACTACAAAGACAATGATATGGCGAAGCTACGATATGACAGGCTGAATCAAAATCGGTGAACAGTATTTGAAAAATGAGAGAAACAAAGAAGACTATAATTGAAACGATAATAAATTTCCGATCGCACAGCGTAACATTAGCCTGATTTTCGATGTTAATCGGAAACAATCGATATCCAGCGGACGTCACTCTGAGGACCATCGAAAGCCGGCAATGCTTACGTGTGAATTACGCGTGATAAGCGTATTACAACCCTCGGTGACCCACTTGGACGAGAAACGGAAATGGACGGCGAAGGAGCATCGTCGGGGAAACTTGTAATTTTCCGGTCGGTCGACGGCATTGTGTTCTCTCTCTCTCTCGCGCGCGCGCGCGCGGCGATAGATAATAAAAACTAGAAGGGATGAAAAGGACGAGAAAACTCTGCGAGGGTGCGGAATGGTTTCGCAGCACGTACCAAAAGGAGGCGCAGTCAATTCATTGAATAGGAAAGTAACTTTCATAGTTTATAAGTTTACCCTCCGCGCGGCATCGCTTCGCCGCGCCGGAAAAGGGAAATCGAGACCGGCGCACAGTGCGCGGCCGTCAATGGACAAAATTCAAAAAAGTCACAGCCTCGTAACTGTTCGAAACGATGCGTTTACCAACAGAATGCTCAAAAAATTCAGCAGAAGATTCATTTCAAATGAGCTCGCTGAGCGAACGTTAGGAGGAACAAGTCGCACATTGGTTCACACCGCAGCTCGTTTACATTATCTTGTGTTGGCTATTTCATGATGTAACTTATACAGAAAATGATTGCTAGGGATTATATGATTTTAATTAATCTGTAGCAATTTTGTTATATTTATATGCGATATAATAATTGGCATAAAATTAAATAATTAAGTTCGATTTATTTTCGTGCACTTTGAATAAGGTTTTTGAAAAAATGGCTCAAAATAACCTTAATAACCAAACTAACCAAATAAT